TTTTGACACATAGTTACCGCCTAGCGTTTTCGCGTCCGTGCGAACGCTCGCTTAAAAGTAAATGACTATTTCATTTGCTATATTATATTTCATTCGAATAAAATGTCTAATCGAATTTCAACTACTTTCACTAAAAGGGACATAAAACATATATACGGAAGTTTGAAAGAATTAAGTACAGGCGCAATGTCAGAAAAAGTCATACCACCCCCGAATTCGAAATTAATCAGTCTGCTCGGCTAGCTTACATGTTACAAGACAATTCCTTAACACTCAACAAAACGTTCAACTCAATCACACACCCACAATAAATATGTATAGGATAAAGTGCATGCATCCATTCCTATCACATTGACATCTTCCAACCGGAAATCATCGTTTGCGCAACACAAGATACAATACCTCTACTGGCTGAGAGGCAATCACTGGTAATCGCGTCCCTCTGTGTACCCGCAAAAACAACGAAAGTGAAATGCATCTGCATTTTGTCACTATTTCATGCGACATTTATTTGACTAACTTTAACCGAAGCTTTACCCTAATTTAGTAGATAATCGCACACGATTATTGTTTAGTTTCAATTTACAGAGGTATGTTTGACAATTAAGTTTGTATTCATTTAGTTTCCTATCACTCTACGACATGACTTGCTTACGACAAGTTTTGTTTTAACGTAGTCAACCATGGAAGCAAACTTACTTAGTTTTAATCATAATAGTCCATCAGCTTCTTTTCAACACTTATCTATACATATAATAAAATTGGAGTATCTGTTTATAATATTATAATAAAAATTCAAGATTTCGGAAAGATGGTGTATTTGCGTAGCTGATAACGCAAATCGCTTTTATTTTGTCTGTCTGTCCACAAGCTGCGTTTGTTCCGAGTAATCTCCGAAACGTTTGCGCCGATTTCGTCCGGACTTTCACTGAAGGATTGCTGACATAGACGGCCGTATTATAGGGTACTTTTTTCAATTCCGCGATGTCAAAATGGCGTAACGGGTGGTCCAAAACCTGCGCTAACGAAGATTGCGGGCGACAGTTCGTATTTATTATAGTCTCATTGATCATATTACAAACACTTCCCGAATACTACGCTTATACTACAAAAATTACAATTTCGTATTTACTTCTAGGTATCGTTAGCGATAAGCTTCGAAATAAATAAAAATAAAACACACGCGTACGTGACAAGTTAAAAACATCTTATCGTTATATCGTTGATAACTTCAATAAATGTAAGAGTCATCCGTTTGTAAAATATGACCTACCAAGTTTATGAAACTAATTAAATGTGGTCGCCGAAAAATCTTTTCTCGTATCTCGTATTCATATTTTATCATATTTATACTTGAAACAAAAACTTTGTACTCCTTTTTAAGGAAATTGATAGAAAGGATAAATATAACATCCGACACGGTTAATGGTTTAAATAAAGAAGTGTAAATTTTGGTGCAATTTCCAATCGGCAGCCGTATGTCTGTTATATTGTGATGTCCTAGGACCTCGTGACCTCTAAACGTCTTGACCGATATTGTAGAGAACGTTTTGATTAGTATTCTTCCCCGGATTGTTATAAGGACATACATATAAACATTTTAATTTATAACTTATAGATATTACAAGCACATTAAAAGATCGCATGGCAACCGTAGACATTTATTGGTCATAGATTAGCCGGAATATTCCGCCTCGGATCCACAAGCCTTGTGTCCATTGACACTTAACCGGTTTATTAAGTTAATCGAAAGCGTTCTATTAACTAAACTACGCCGTAACACAACTGTTTCCGAATTTTTATTCTTTTTATTTTAAAAAGAACATTGGTTAAAACTATACAAGAGATAACTGCGCCCTTAAGGTGAAAGCTTAATTACTAGCGATTGTAAAATGTTATAAAATTCTTATTTAGGTTATTCATATACTTGTGTACGTTCTCATTATCTCAATGCTGCAATACATACTTTAGTAATAAATCGATCGTGGACAACAATCATTGACCCAAAACATTATCTGCATCAAATATAAATAAGAGGAATCGATCAAAACAATATAGAGTTTTTAAAGACATAAGCAAGTGACAAGTTTCTCATGAAGTGTTAAGACCAAAACGGACGAGCAGGATAGGGATGACTCACCCATGCCCAATAAAGGATAATGATAGGAAGAGAGAGCAGGGGAGAGAGAGGAAAGTCAGTAAAACTTTAAAAAAGTGAATCTCAGTGGATATCGATAGCAAATTGCGAAGCGGCGTCTACGTTCGCGGTCTATATAAGTCGCTCACTTGAATCACAACGTAAAATGTTTGTCACGGTGCAAAAAAAATGATTATAGTAAGATGTATGATGATGATATGTATTTATGGACTTCTTCACCACATTAAGTTTATCTATGTCAAATTATATGTTCATCCATTCACACTATTTCCTTAAAAAGTAGTACAATGTATTCTCTTTAAATATTTTAATATAAAGTTATCTTTAGGCGAGACATATAAGTGAGGTCATATTCTGTTTGAACTACATACAACATCTTGTTTGGACTATTGAAATACAAATGTATGGGCTCTTCATAATCTATTGAAGATCAAGGTGCACTGCAAATTTTGAACATATTTAGCCTTGGAAAAGGTTTTTTAAGAGTACTTGTGTTAATCAAACCGGACCTTATAATTTCTCCTTCACATTGTATGAATATCTAGGAAATGGTTTGATTAAATTTTTGTCTTTTTACTCTAATCTCTAATCTCTTCACTAGTTTATTATTTATGTGATATATAATTGTAACTCTGCCAGAGGTACAATTATATATCACATAAATATTAGGAATGCGAAAGTTACGATGGATGTATGGATGTTTGTTATCATTTTTAGCCCAAACGGCTGAACGGTTCTCCATGAGATTTGACACAGTTTTCGAGCATAGTCTGGAAGAACACATAGGCTACTTTTTATCCTGGGAATAGTTACGGTTCCCGTGGGATTCATTAATTTAGATTTTTAATGTTTACTTGATCATTCTGCAACGGTTCAACATATCCTATTGAAATTTGGCACAGATATAAAACAAAGTCTGGAGTACACATGGAACAAATTTCACCACCGAGATATGTCCGGTTTCCAGGGGAAAAGCAGCTTTGTGTTATTTATTTAGTTCGAATGTTTTCTAATACCACGCGGACGAAGCCGCAGGCAAAAACTAGTACCTAAATAAACAAAATAATTTTATCAATCTGTTTTCTTCAGATCCATTTATTAGACATTTATGATTTTTGATGATAAGGTGCAGCCACCGCTGACATTAATCTTGTGAAGAATTCAGGTACTTAAACTTAGCGACTCATAAGATACACAATAAGTGAAGCTTATTGTTTAAGTTTGTGAACTGTGTGAGTACTGTTAAATATTTTGACATGAACCTTTTAATATTATAAATCTGTTGAGTTCCTTTGTTCAAATACAATTAAAACTCTAATATCATGAACTATGTGTTAGATTCAAATAAATTGTTTGTGAGTCCAGTAATTTAAGAGGTTATAAAGTCACAGATGGTTTATCTCCAAATATTTATGGTTTTCTACCAATAAACTTACAATTTTTGGAAAAGTAACAAGAAATAGCACGTTATTTGCGGCGCTATTTAGGTTGTGAAACATATTCTCTCAATTAGTTTAGAAGATGCCACTACTTTACAAGGTTTTATTGATGGAACATCACAAGGGTTCTATTGACTGACAGAAAAGAGATCAGACATTTATTCTTTGTCATCTGGGCAAAGATTGTGCTGCTCGTTAGTAATCAATAAAACAGCTGCATTCAGGTTTATTTTAAACTATTTGCAAATCACAAACATTTCTGCAGATTCCTATATTATTTTGTATCATATCTGATATTTATAGGTTTAAAGTTTTCTGTAGTCAAATCAGAGGTACAATTGCTGAATTCTGACAAAAATAAGGTTAATTTTTATAGAATTGCACAATCTACAATTGTGTCGCACACAGTTTAATATTTAAACTTACAATGCGGTAAAAGTGACATGATCTCATTTATTATGTAATTATATTGTCTTTAATAATATTATTGTTATAAATTGATTTATATTGCATATTTATGTATTTTATGAATGTTTATTTCTTTGTTTAGGTAAGAATTTAACTATTGAAATTTTACATTTCGTTTCATGAGAATTGGAGGAATTTTTAACTAAAACATACAAAAATTGAACTTTATATCTTGCACTGAACTAATATTCATACATGTGACAATTACCTTGGTCCTAAATTGTATTTACATACAGTATGTACCTAAATTCCAGTAATGAAAAATCTTTCCAGACAAAAACCTTGGCAAATCTTTTAAATTAACTCCATAAATAATTATATTTTTATTTAATTTAAAAAGTGTAAATATGACAAAGACAACAACGTGTATTTTTACATAGAGTTATTGTATAACCATGAATTATCATTTAATCAAAAAAAAATTAAACTAAAAAAGTGATTTCGTTTATAAATGTATTCCCAAATTGACAAATTCACATAAAAAGTCATTTGCTAAACATTCGTCCCAAATTACAAAGCCTTAAAAGGTACATCCTTCAACAAACATAAGAATATCGATCTTGTTGGCATGTCGCAGTTTACAGATTTCTAAATTGAATATAGTGCAAAAACGTGTGAATTGATGAAAAATTCATGTTTATATCGATTTAAAATCAACAAGGCACGGAAATGAAAAGCTCTACCTAGTTATATTATGTAGTTGGTACCATGCACGTAGCACTAAAATATGGAGGATGCAAATTCGAAACTATCCAAAAACTCGTCTAAACGTTTTATGTCAAATACAATTAAAGCTAAAGCCTTTATTATAATAATTTATGAAGAATTATGACCATTCTTAGTTATAAAACTTATCAAATATCAAGAAATATACATTTTTTTAGACGAGGCTATTGCTCTATGCTGATGTTGATGTAGCTTAAAATATTACTTACCACAGTGAAGACTGACATATTACACTTGTAAAACAAAAAGTTGTATATAAATAATAAGACTAATAACAATTCATACAGTTTTTAAGCAAGATTTATTTAAGTTTCACTGTTTTTTTCCACAAAACAATAACACTATGCGCAATCACTCCCGCACAACCACTGTGAAGTTATTGACAATCAAATCAAAACCACCAACATAATGAAATAACAATTTCGGAAATCATTATATAAAACAACAAGAAATACAATAATAGAGATCACAAATACACGATTTTCAGTATATTATTAAAAAGTACGGCTTCCGCACTTGTTTAATGCTCCCGACACTAAGTCGTGAATACGCATGTCCTTAACTTGAGTATTGATTTTATCCCGTTTTTAGTATAGTTTACAACCTGTAACTCTTGAATAGTTTTCTTAAATTAAATATTAAGCATTCAATTTTCTAACGATAGATATATTTAACTCTAAATAATGACTTTTGTCCTTGTAATAAATTACAATCAAATTAAAAAAAAATCGAAATTAAACAATACAAAAACAACAAATCCAACCATACTATTATTTAAAGGAAATAACCGTAATTTCATAAGACTTTGCGTATTTAATTCCACGTGTATAAAATAATTTTTCGTTCGAAAATACTTTTTATAACATCTGTATCAAAGAGTATAAATATAAAGTGACATCTAACAACTAAAATCTAAGTTGTCATTTGATATTGCCTGACTAACTGTCTTTAATATAATTATAATTTTGGTTTTATTAGGCTTGCCCGCTTTTCTTGTATCAAATATGTGAATAATGAATATCGACATAGTATTTTTTGTTTAATATAAATAATTCATAAAATAATAATGAAATCAATAAGAATAGCTAAGAAAACACTAGCAATGGCAGTTGTTTTAAGTATAATATGGTTTTTGTTGTTCTGGAGTTACCTTGGAATTTTAAGGTAAAGAAATAGTTATTTATTAGCATTGCATATTTATCTTCTGATATTATTTCATTTAACATTCACTGTAAATAAGGGATTGATTTACAGAAAATCTTAACTTTTACATATTTACATAATATAAATGTACACATATTACGTGAAAATGCACTCTCATACTGTTAGCTCCAGGTCTATTTTTTTTAGGTGTGGTAAAAACTGAAAAATTTCGTCCCACCCGCTTGTATTTTTTTATTACTTTTATTTTATCTTCAACATCAGTTTTGTTGATGATATTGAGATTTTAAACATATAACAAGTTTGATCAGACGCATTTTTCATCAGCCAGTGATCGCGACTTTTTCCGCGTAATATAGGGAGGGGGAGGGGATTTTTCACATTTCATATAGGGGGTTAAAGAGGACTTTTGAGGTTTTACATTTAATGGTATTTTGAACATTCTTAGAAATTTTCACTTCTAGGTATACAAATTACTTTACATTTGAATATTTAAATTGACCTAACTAATCAAGTCTGATTAACTGAAATTTTCCAATAGCCCAAGCTATTGGAAAATTTGCATATGTGTTCCTATATAGCCACGAACTAAGACATCTTTTTACACAAGATCTGTAATGAAGGGTTCACATATTTATGTGAGGTTATATGCTCTTTTTTTTTTTTTTTTTATAACAAAAGGTGGCAAACGAGCAAGTGGCCACCTGTATCCGCCAAAATAGCGAAGCGACCGCTGCCCATAGACATCCGCAATTGCAAATGCGTTGCCTACCCTATCCGACAGAGGAGGAGATGCACATAAAGAGGATATTTCCTCTTCCTATGTATCTCCTCCTCCATGAAATCCACTTTCCCTTCCCATCCTCTTCTTATAAGAAAAGGGTGGTAAAGAGAAAGGGACTTAAATTAGGCCTCCGGCACCACACTCATCAGACGAAACACGGAATTGTTTCCATTTCACGCCTGTCTTCTATGTGGTCGTGGTATTACACCGGGCGTGCCGGCCCATTCGTGCTAAGATGTTAAAGCGGGCACTACCACTGTCAAATTGATCATTGCAAGTAATAACATGGAGAGTGCCTTAATGTAGTTCACATATGGCATTCCACATTTGTATTATAAAATAAAATGTATTTAGAATCTGAGTACCTTAGTTTTAGAAATAAAAAAATTGCATGTTCCATTTTTCAGTTTCGAAAATGTTGGTTCCAAAGCCATTCCAGTGATTGTTAAAAATAAACTATGCTCAGTGAACTATGGAGACTACCGAACTAATGTCAATAACAACAATACTTTGAAAATGATCTACTTTGTGACACCTACTTATCCAAGGCCAGAACAAGTCCCAGAACTGACAAGGCTGGCTCATACTTTGATGCATGTGCCCCGCATACATTGGATAATAGCCGATGACCAACCTCTTTGTTCTAATGTGGTTTTAAATATTCTCAGGTAAATTATATTGCTGATTTTCTTTTATATATAAGTTAGTAGCTTTTGCACTCAACTGTCTGTGTGGAATTTAAAAAAAAAAAACGAAAATGAGTAGCCTACAATCTTTATTTCTCTACATCTATGCTACATTTCACAGAGATCCATTCAGTCTTTTAGGCTACAAACTCTAACAAACATCCATCCATCCATCTAAACTTTCACATTTATAATATAAAAAAGCTTTCGCCCGCGAATTCGGCCGGGTGGATTTAAAAAAAACAAAAGTGAGTAGGCTATGTGTTTTTCCAGATTATCCTCTATGTCTGTGCCAAATTTCATCGAGATTCTTCAGCCGTTTAAGCTACAAACTCTTAACAAACATCCATCCATCCATCTAAACTTTCATATTTATAATATTAGTAAGATTATAGAATAAATTTATTTAATGGTACCATCGTTAGCTTAAAAGTATGGCATTGATAATATTTTTATATCTAAATAAATAATGGTTGTAACTTTGTTAGCAGTCTTTATCACTTAACAGGTTTATATCGCAAAGATATTCTAATTACCTTGAACTTGTCAAGGGTATTTCAGCAAAGGTTTATCTGTATAAATAACACATTTTTAAAATAACTAAACCCTGCCACTCTTGATTATGTAGGAATTGGTATAAATACTTATATTGTTTTAAGGTTTTCATGCAAATGAGGCAGACTGGAACACATTACATTGTACAAGATGATAGTTTACATTTGCAAGAACAAAAAAAAATGTTCTATATTTTTTCTAAATGTAAATAGTGAAGGTTTGTGTAAATGATTTGCAAACTTCATTATATAGGGGCTATCAAACAGCAGGATCATTTATTTTAAGTAATCACCATTCTCCATTGACATTGCCAAGACCAGTGGAACTGTTTTGCCGATTTTTATTATCTGTCACTTGACTTAATAATAATTCATGCTAATATTATAAATGCAAAAGTTTACATGGATGGATGGATGTTAAAGCTTGTAGCCTAAACAGCTGAATACATCTGGATGTAATTTGACATAGATGTAAAGGACACTGTGAAAGAACACAAGCTACTTAATTTTTTTTTAATTCCATGTAAACAGTGTCGCGGACGAAAGCTAGACGGAAGTAGTTTTAAAGTATTTTTATCTGTTTCAGGCGGACTTATCTACCATTCACGCTCATATCTAGTCCAAAACCATTTATTTATAAAGGCACTAATTTCCCTCGTGGAGTATCTAATCGTCGCGCTGCTGTCACTTGGCTTCAAGAGAATGTTTCAGAAGGCATTCTTTATTTCGGTGATGATGATAATACAGTTGACTTAGAATTGTTTGATGAGATAAGAAATACAAAGAAAGTGTCAATGTTTCCTGTTGGTCTAATTGGTGGATATGGAGTGTCATCGCCTGTTGTTAAGAATGGAAAGGTAATCCTTTTATATGTTTACATAAACTTCGTTAGCGCAAATATGGACCACCCGTTACGTGATTTTGACAGCGCAGAATTAAAAAAAACAGTAGCCTATAATATGCCCGTCTATGCCAGCTACCTTTCAGTGAAAGTCCAGTCGAAGTCGACCACCCGTTTCGGAGATTAACCGGAACAAACGTGGCTTGCGGACAGACAGACAGACAAAAACAATAAATGCGATTTTCGTTATCAGCAACGCAAATGCATCATCTTCCCAAAATCTGGAATTTTTCTTTTGATATTACAAAGAGACACACCAAGTTCATTATATGTATAGTATGTAGTTTTAGTTATGGTGTAATAAAATTTACAACATATGGAATATTGATATTACTAATATAAATTTTTTATTTATTGACTTTAAATAAAGTAGACTTTAAGTAAATTAGTTAAACTTATTCTGAGTATATCAGTTAATACTTAATTCAGACTGAAAATATTAGTTTTCGCTTGTATAACAAAAAAATTGCTATTTACAGGTGGCTGGATTTTTTGACTCGTGGCCGGGTTCTAGAACGTTCCCAGTGGACATGGCAGGTTTTGCTGTCAACATTAAATTCCTAAAACCAAAAGCTTCTATGCCCTATATAGCCGGTCACGAAGAAGACAAATTCTTGGTCAGTTTGGACTTGAAAATGGAGGATATTGAACCATTAGCAGATAATTGTACAAGGATCCTCGTCTGGCACACAAAGACTGCAAAATATAAGAAGCCAACAGTGAAAATTGACCTGAAACAATTTGATGGAGAGCCCAAATTCCAGAACTTTGTTAATCTCCTCAAAGAGACCTCCAGGCTGGGTATGGCAAATATTGAATCAAGTAATGGAACCAAACCGTATATTATTCGTGATCGTAAAAGCTATGAAACCCTTACTGGTTTGCAGTAGATTATTTTAACATAGATAATGTATTAATAGCTTTTGAAATTCCTAAATTTCAAAGATTATTTGTATTGTTTCATATTTAAATGTATTCTATTTATCCATATAAAAAACATAATATAGATCGGCATAATGCATTGTTTGTAAATACATATTTAGTTATGAACCATAATATTATTTACCCGAGTTATGTTCCTTGGTTCTTTATTTCCTGTCGCTAAAATACAAAGAGGTACATTTGATATAACATGAAATTTAGGCGTAAAATTAACATAGAGGTATAATATTATGAGTATATTTTTCAAAGTATCTCATTTAAGTAAAATTTTACCCTCGTCCATGTGTTAGGAAAGTCTGATTTTAGTTATTAATTTTGTTGGTTCATTTTTTTCTGTAAGTAGCTGTGATGTAGTTTGAACTTCAGTTTATATTTTGTGGTTTCTTACAGAGTTTAGATAATAAGTGTTAAGTGTGTTTGTGCATAGTATCGGAATTTAAACATTCAAAAAGCGAACTTGCTTTCAAGTACATTTTTCTAGAATTAATGATCATGTTTATTTTTTAAATGATTTCTAATTTTATATTTATGATTTTTTTATATGATAAGGTGGCATTCGAGTGACGGCCATTTGAATTCGCTGAAAAAATCCAAGCAATCAAGGCCCATAGACATCAACATTCCTTAATCGATGGATGGATTGATTAAGATTTTTTTTTAATTAATGGCCAGGTTTATTTATATTAATGATTATTTTATTTTACATTTATAGTCATTTTATTTTATATTTATAACCACGTTTTATTTTATTAATCGTCATGTTTACTTTTATTAATGGTCATTTTTATTTTATTCTTATAGTCATTTTTATTCTATATTTATATTTATTTTATCTTAGTTGCTTAATTTGCACGCCCATAATGTTTCTATCGAATTTAAATTAAATTGTGAATTTTTACAGACTTTTTTCTTAAATGTCATGTCATGTTAAATGTTGCCAATATTTTAATTTCATTCAGTGATTCAGAAGTATTTTCTATAAAGTCTTGTATAGAATTCTAAATGCGTAAATATGTTTTACAATATCCATCGATTTTATTAACAAAGTAAACGTTACTTTAGTATTTTGTAAAAAATTATCATTACTATTAGAATAAACTATGAATTGAAAGGAAACGAATGCAATGTATGAAAAAAATGTTTTGTTAATATGTTTAACGTTTTGTTGCTCTAAATGTGTTTGGAATTCTTATTAGTTTATAAATTTTAAATTGGCGTGTATTTTTTTTTGAGTTTGTTTTTCACTCCCTTGTATAAGTGGATCACTGACGTCCAATTTTTTAATAGTTATTGCATAATAATTTTAATAAATCGAGTGATATGGTTTAGTTGAACGAAGTGGAAATTAAAAATAGTTTACAATAATAAAGTAATAAGTATTATGTATTGTACATAAAATGCTGTAGTTTTCTTGATTTGGAGCACTTTTGTCAATGAAATATGAGTTTTTGAGGATGAACAGATGTAAAAATAAACTGACGTTTGGTTAAATATACAAATTGGTTGAACCAAAAAGTTAGTAAGATAGACGAAGAGGTAATGTACCGAACCCAGATATATAGTTCATTTAACGAAACTTTTGTATCTTGTAGCATCGCGAATGTCCCGAATAAAAAGAATTCTATATTGTATCTAATAGCAATGTTTTTTTTTTAATTATGAGCAAGCTTTGATAAAATGTATTTACTCTCACTTTAGATTCTTCTAATCACTCCGCTTGAGTATTTCAATTCTCATTATTTTACTAACAAAAAATAACCACTATTTTTAAAGTTGCAATCGATAACGGTACTCCATATACCAATTCGCATATAACGATTTACTTCGAATATTAATGTTGAATCATAAACATATTTATATAACATTTTGTAGGTATAAGAATATACAAATAGTTTTGATAACATTGCATATTATGTTACAGTTTTATTATCACACTGAAGTTAGCGAAATTTTCAATCATTTAATAAATGACTAAATTATGTTGGTAATAAGACGGGGGTTAACTTTACGATAAATTAAATTCCTCTAAAATGACGTGAGACAGTTAAAGTCTGTGTTGAAAGCATAAGTTAAGCGCTAAAGTTAATTATATTGGAAAAATCGGCGCAAAATCAATATTTTAATCCCTCTAAATAGAAAGAAAGAATGTAGTCACGTACAAGAACTCGCAAAATTAATCTTGTTTCTATCTTAATTCCGAAAAGACTATCCGGCTATGACAATTTTTTTTGGTTCTTAGAAAATTACCGAATTTTAAAAAGGGGTTGTAATCCTTATCTCGAATATTAAACATAAGATTTTCGTACCAACTATAAAAATTCAATAAAAGTTGTGGTAGATCGTCGATAAATCAATAATTAAGATAATCCAGAAGCTATGTAAAGAATGATCCGACTTATACGCAAAATGCTATATAAAATGGGTTAAGGAATCTCCCAAGCGTTCGTGTATGTACATATTTGTATTTATTTCTATTCTTGTCTAACTAAATTTGCTTTGCTAACTTCAGGTTGATGAAAAGATCCGTAACATATATGAAAACACCAATTTAGTATTAGCAAATGTATGTGCCTCAATAATTTCATATAATAATTTGTAACACGAGAATTGTTTGTTCATTGTTGTATTGTAATTGTACGAATACAATGTAATTAGGTTAGACCATTCAATTTAGTTTTTTCTTGGTATAAGTTTATGCAAAATCTAGTACACAAAAGGTTGTTTTAGTATAATTTTACTATTAGATATAAATGAATGTAATGCAATATTTTAAACGGGATATCACTTTGTTATGAATAACAATTAGACTATTTCTGATTTTATTTCACCATCTATTTTATTTTAAAATGGTTCGTCTAACACAGATAATTTTCTTGTTTTATCATAAATTTTACAAAGTACATTACATAAACTAGAATATAAACGTAACGCTAATATTCCTCATTCCAAATGTGCCGCATTTTTATATATTTATGTAAACCCATAGGTTCCCAAAGACAGACTGTGATTATATTTAAATATTTATATACTTGAATATTATATAATAAAATCATATTTGTTGTAAATAAACAAAATGGTGTGTGAGACAGTCAAATAAATGCGCTAAAATATATAAAGCCTAGATATACAATTGCAATGTCAATGAAAGCAATAATTTACACTGGCTTATAAGCCAATAAGCCAGTTGTCTACCATTTACTAGACAGCATAACTATCATCCATTACAATGAAATGTGAAATCAAATATATAGTTTTTGTATTGTATAATTATTTTTAATACAATTGTAACCTACAACAACCGCTTCGCTAGTCAAACTGTCTGTTAAAAAATAAATATATGTAAAAAAATGATGTTTTTTTTCTACGCCATATACTTTTAATGCATTTTTATTGCCTTTCTTTCCTAATAATTTGTTTCGTGATGAAAGCCGTTCTTGAATACCGTTTTTTAATAAATTTAGATATTTATCTGTACTATTATAATAAAGCGTCAACACACTTCTTTGTTGCCTAAAATGTCAGCAATTACAGCATATTTTAAAATAATCATTTTTTTAATAAAAAGCCCTACAGTTTCGTCATGCTTTAGGCTGTATATTTTCACGCCATTGAAGTTAGGGGTCAATATTTTGGGTAAAAACCCTAATGTGGGAAAGAGACCATAAGTTGCTTAACATCAAGGAATCAAGGTTGCCATGGTTTGACATCATGTCATGTCATTTTGACATTTGCAATTGATAACTTGACAAATGTGAACAATAAAATTATTTATTATAATTTTATGCGGATAAAGTCGCATGGGAACCGCTAGTTATTTAGAAAGATTAAAACTAATCAATACACGCAAGTACCTTGAAAAACTTAAACGAAATTGACCTAGGATATTCCTTGGAGAGTTACGAATCGAAGATCAACTTACTTTAAATGAAAGTTGTGTGGGTTAATCTAACTATAGCAGGATCGTTTTTAACATGGGTATATTTTAATTTCATATATCTTGGCAGCATGAAACATTGCAGTATAGTTTGTCTAAATAAGATAGATTAGTTTGATACATGACGCATATGAAGTATCGAATTTAATTTGTATGGCAAATGCCATACTTAATAGACAGGTATCGTAGTGACGAAACAAACACGCATTGCGAACAATTTCGAACTATCGATATTCGGTTTAAATAATTATCGAACTCAACTAAAATTACTATTTTCTTATTAACTAATTTATAGGACAATTCTGGTATTGATTATAGTGTAGAGAATATAGCGATGACAGAAATAATAGCGAAATCCAATTCGATTACGTAAGGTTGTAATAGTAATAAACATTTAATTACTCTCATTATTTGTTAAGGTCATTATCAAATTGAGAAAAATGACTGATTTACACAATCCATCCCTACTATATTTGAAATGAATTGTCAAACTAATCTAAATTATTTAGACATACTATAGTTGCGTATTACATATTTGACAAATTGTTTATTTATTAATGACTCAAAGCTTAGTCTAATGTAATTTAGTGAATGTGATAAAACAATTTTTTGCATTACATTAGTGAATAAAGATTAAAGGTAAAACGCTAAGAGTGCGTTTAATTTTCAAGATGAGATTAACCATCTTTATGCAGTCCAATCTGACCCTGAATTTGGCTCACCTGAACAGCAATTTTGTTTAGAAGTGTTTGAGACGATCTTAGTATTCTATTGTCAATGTAAAGTATTTTAGTATTTATTGAAAAAGTAAAAAATAACAAAACTCCAAAATAAAAATACAAAATCTTGAACAACATTTATGTTTATTTTTTTACTTAGGTATTACTTATACAAGTTTTAATACATGTAGATATTTAAAACTAACATTAAGTTTATTAAAGAAACGCAGTATAGTTGATGCGTTTTTTTTAATATGATAGTTTATACATTGTAATACTCTTAGAAAAATAATACATTTAGATTACAAGTAGTATATATAAAGTTATGATCAAAAATTGTGCAGTTGATATTGAGCCACATTATTTGATGAACATTCATATAAAGAATAGATAAATTTAGTATTGTAAAGGTATAATAGGATATAAACCATCGCAGAAAATATTCAGTACACAGTAAAGACAATATTTTTTTGTAGTTTCTTTTAGTATATTTTGTCACATAACACGGAGAGATTGATTTTAATTACACATTAAATGTAAAATTTGATATAAATTATTTTACTAAAATTTATTTATTAACAACTTTGTCGAGTTCGGCTTTGTACGCTGGCAGCTCTACGTCGTCCCAGTGTAGTGTCACTTTATCAAAATATCTGAAATAGAAGGGAGGGAAAGGAAGAATTAATTATTATTTTATTTCAATCCTTTTACTATTGGCAGATTTTTAGAAAACATTGAAAAGGTCATTTACCTAGTTTGGACCTCAGAGAGAACTATTTTTTCATGTTCGCTAAGACCGCTCTCCAATAAGTCGAGTGTGTCAACCATTTGTTCCACGTTGAAGAAACCGCATATATTGACGTCGATGCCGGGTTGATTTAACGTGAACCACGACGCGATGCGAGCCAATTCCACATTCTTACTCTGCACAATTAAAATTAATATAATCTAACACTAATCAATTGTGCATAAAGGGTTGAACACTGCATTAAACAACAAATAATGTATTCAACAATTTACACACGCGTAGTACAAGAGGTGTATATTAACTATAAGGCTAGATAAACTAGCTTTCGCCCCCAACTTCTTCCGCGTGAAATTGCAAAAAACAAAAGTCAATAGCCCATGTATTCTTTCAGGCTATCCTCTACATCTATGATAAATTTCATAGAAATCCGTCCAGCCGTGTAGGCTACAATCTCTAACAAACATCCATCCACTCATCTAAACTTTCGCATTTATAATATTAGAATGATGAAATATGATTGCATTACACCGCACTCTTCAAGCCAGTCTCGCCAACAACAGCATCCGTTCAGTCCCCATTCTATTAGTCAATTAGGATTAGACAAATGAATAACAACTTCCGTCATCTTAATCTGGAATAAGATATGTAAATACTTTGCAGTAGTCAGAGGCTCGTTTGCAGATAGCTTTAATGTCGTCGCTAGCCGGATGCCATGGCTGTGGTCCTTTGTTAGAGAGCAGGCCCATCCCAGTTGCAGCCGCATTGATCACGGCTACACGTTTACTCTGTACAAAAATAAACATATTAAATTATTCAGATATTAAAATATTATTTTGATAAACAATTAACGTCCATATAAAAGAACAATAACAAGATAAGATTAGGTTACATCATCATGCATACAATATTTAATATCTAGACTTTGGCGGTAGTGTAATTGCACTTATCAATATTTGATATTTGGCCAATCGATTTTCTGATCGTTAATATTTAAGATCTGTGTTTACTTTAGACAAATTGGTTTATTATGGTTACATGTTACTTTAAATAAAGCTCACCTTAAAATAGTTTGTGTAGTTCTGTAAGCGATTGTCAAAGAGCGTAGACTTTGCATACGATAACACTGTGGATATCTTGACTTCAGATTCTTCGACGATTTCTTTCATCAAATCTATATCGTAATCGGCTATCCCGATATATCGAGCTTTTCCATCTCGCACCGCCCTTTCCAGTACTGGAAGAGTCTCTTTAAGTACAATCGATATGTCGGGCGCAAACGTCACATCATGGACCTGTAAACCAAATTAATTTGTATTTATATGATTGTTAAAAAAATGTGGAATTAATGGAAAACTGCTAAATTGTTTAAGAAATCGAATAAATTGACAATCGTATTAGAAATTCATCAATGGATGCGATTTGTGTAAAAGGACCGGATATTCCTCTCCTCCTTTACGTATTCTTTTATTAATTAGCACATTAAAGCTATTCTTTATCATAGTTATCAATAGTTTACACAACATGAAAAACTGACAACTGTTTATTAATAGAAAAGAAATAGACTCTTGACGGCGATGATAGATTGATAGAACTATATTAATAGTCCGCGCATGTGGGAGATGACGACCCTCAATTAGATCAATGTGAAGGTAAGTGGCACGAATAATAAGCCAGTAGATGTCCACTCGATGCAAGGACTTATTACAATGTTTGCACTTGCAAAATTATTTCAATATGTTACTATTATTGGCAATTGTTAGAAATACCCATTGTAATACAAGCATAGACTACAGTAACTTCTATTTCTGATTAAATGTACATTGCTAAACTTTATATTTACGGGAAGATTAAAAAAAAATGCTTTGATTGAGCTGATTAACAAACATTTTGGACTTTGGTATTTTTATTTCGTAGTTTCTTAAAATGAGTAGTTACATCTTGTAAATGGAAGCACAAATTAAGAGAACATAAAATCAACTAAGCGACTTCTATATTTGACAAACAAAATAAAAATTCAAGGTTCCATTAAAATAGTTAACCATTTTAAATTGAGACAGAGCATCAAGATATGGTGAGACGAAATTAGTTGAAATTGTCTTTGAACCCTGACCTGAATGAGATCCACGTAATCCAAATCGAGCAGAGCTAGCGTATTGTCCACGCCAGCTTCGGTCTTCTCTACTGAAAAGTCAAACATTTTTTCTGGCTCCTTCTCGTAGCGTCCAACTTTACTACCGATGAAAAAAGAACTCCTCGGTACATCTTTAAGTGCCTATAAAAAAGCACGATTACAATATTCTGTTATCAAATCTAGCACACAATAAAATACTTCCAGTTAATAAAAAATGTAGTAATTTAAAATTCATATAAAAATAAGACTATTCATCATCGTCATCTTTCTCTCGTAAGGTCGGCGCAACAGGTTTTTGTCCTCTACATAAGTCATCTCAGACATCACTCACTATTTGATCATGTCACCTTTCACGCAATCCATCCTAGGTCTACCTAAATAAGACATTCATCTTATAAAAAAAGGAACAGAAAACATCAAGAAAAAGATTTCTTGATGCGGAAGACCGCATTTTTAAAATAACAACAAAATTGTACCTTTTCACGATGCCGATTCGAATAAATACAAAAAAGAGCCTACCTCTGTTAATCCTCCCTTTCTAAAAGCGCTTTTTGAACTGCTTTTTAACATTTTATTTCTAAGAATGTGCAAAGTAGTATAATTACCTAAGCATTTAGGTAATTTTAGTGGTTTGCAAATCTTTATATATAAGAAAAAGAAATAAAGCGATCTTTAAAGCCAAATAGGCGTTCAGCATTCTGCATTACTATGAAAGAGCAAATATCAATAAATATGTTTTGATAAACTGATATTTCTATGACTTGATTTTGTATAGCGTGGTTAATGTGTTACTTGCCAAAAAAATAAAGTACAGTGCATTTACATTATCGTATAATATCTACCAAATTAACATTTTATTTTTTCTTATCAAAAAAATTGCAAAGCCGATTAAATTATTTCCAATACACCAGTTTCGTTAAGAATGTTTATTTACATTTTCTCAAGTAACTGCTTTATTGAAAGCTCTTAGAAGAGTACTTGTAGTATTAGTCTTCAAGCTAACTCTCGGTCATCTCAACTCAATGATACCTTCGAGGAAATAGCTATTACTGATCAAAGGGTACTACGAAACGATTGTTTACTTTGAATAAGTAAATCACGTAAAAATAAATATTATTTACACATTTACTTTTGCAACAAGTTCTTTTCGGTCTGCAAGATTTACAAGTTCGGTATTAAAAAATTGTTAAGCAGTTATCCTAATGAGAAAAGTAGATTTACTGTCGTTGTCCTGTTTGTAATAGCAACGGTATTTGTAATTAATAAATTGTGAAAGGGATATATTCGTTTTCTTATCCCGAGTAAACTATAATTATTTTTTTCAATTTCGGCCAAAACACAGATAATTTTTTACACGTTAAAGTAATAAATAATGTAAATACAAAAAAAATAAACATTTGTAATCTAAAATAACAATAGATTCGACTAATAAAAGTCTTTGAAAGACCCTCAACTGGTCGTTAACTATGACCAACAACAATAGAGTTATTTGTACAAGTACAGTATTTTTAACTAACGCAACGGTGGTGCAAACGGTATATGTAACGGTTATAAATAATAATATTAAATACAGAAATCTGTTGAAATATTTTCCAAGAAACAAATGAGACACGAGTGACTTGGAATATCATTAACTAAAATAATTTTTATGTTCATGGTACTAAAGAAGTTTGCAGAAACGATAATTCCTAGCTCATTCTTTATAAAATTGTAAATTCGAATCAAGCATTTCTTGACTTTTTATCGTTTTTAACTAGTTATAGTTTTTTTTTTAGATAGATGAGAAGATCAAGAGTTGATCAATCAAAAAGAGAATATCAATTGATCATAAAATCATTATAACTAAATATATTTATTTATTACATCTGACAGGACATTTAATATGATATTTGCATTTAATAATATCACTGTAGATAAGCTAAGAAAAAATGTTTCATGAAAAAATAAAGTTCTTTTGTATGCCAGTATAACGTGCATTGTCTTGATATCAGTTAAACGGACGACCCTAGTTGTATCGCATCCTAAGATCATAACCGTTATTTTATTATTAATTCACTCAATGAAAAGGGTACGTTGATTTAATAATATGGTAACCATTTGTGGAAGACTGGTTACACGATCTATTTTTTAGTCTATATTAAAGTATTACTACCGAGTCTTCTAGTAAAACATTTTTTTTTATATGTAACAAAAAACAAGCTTTCTAATCAGATGGGAAATGTTTAGTAATATAGTACAGTATTGTATAATCTTTAGTAGTATCTAGATTAACTTATAAGTAGAGAGAACGAATATGTGATTCGATGGTCATTTAAAAAAAATATAACATTTAAGTTAGTGAGTTTGCTTAGGTTCTAAACCATAAAAGTGATCCCTTATTCAAACATTATATTTTTTAATAATTAGTGTTTGATTCAGAGGTTGCTTTGTTTCTAGGAAAGTTAGTTAAACAATTGAATGCATAATTTATAAATATACAATACTAACTGTTGCTAGCGTCTTCGCCCGCGTGAGTTTAAAATATATCTTTCTAAATAATCTTTCTAACGGTGAAAGAATTTTTAAAATCGTCCAAGTAGTTTTTGTTTTATTTCATACATACAAAAATATAAATCTTTCCTCTTTATAATTACAATAGTATAATAAACGTTTGAAATGTAATGTCGTAAAAACTTTATTTGTGTAACCGGCGATAATAATACAAAAACTGAAAGCAAGGGTGCATCTTTAAAAAAATAAGTATCTTAACGTCGACTTCCTCGCAAGTGTAAATAATTTTTCGACTTGAACTTTAATTAACTGAGCATTTTACTTTCCTTTATTGGAGTTGTACGAAATGTTATGTTTTGAGAGAACTGAATCGTATTTTTTTCCAAAGCTTACTAACGTTCTTTTACGTTTTATGTTATGGTAGATATGCAACAGGGTTATTGATGTTAATACATTTTACGTATCTACATATATGCATAATGCATCGGCTTTATCTAATCTGATATCCGTAATACTAAACGTTTTAACGTTATCTAACACGTATTAATTGAATAGTAAGATTAGTCATTGAAATTAAGTAATTCATATTTCACATACGACAATGAAATGGTAACATTATATAATATGCATTTTCTTCGCCGGTTTACATAAAACATTTGATCCAAACCTTGTTCTGCAGATATGGATTTTAAGTTTTGAACATAATTATCTTTATAGATTGTAGATTTATAAAATACTAGCTTTTCCCTGCGACTCCGTACTCACAATACTATCCTACTGAGATCTACATCTGTGTGATATATCAACAAGATTTATTGAGCCGTTTTGAAGATATTCTATCATTCATCCATCTAAACTTTCGCATTAATTAAATAGGTAAGATGAGACAGTAAGAAGTAAAATGTTGTTGATGTTCATTCGTTCGATTTATGCATACTTTGTTTACCTTTCCTATAGTCCTCTCGGAACTGCCTTGACCGTACCATGGCCCAGTCTCTAAGTAATTCACGCCTCGATTCAGCGACTCTTTTATAAGCTCGAAACTTCGTTTTTCATCATACGTTCTAAAAAAAATATACCAACGTATCTTAATAATATCTCAGTAGAGATAAATTTAGTAGAAAACAGGACCCAACAAACAAGTATAAATGTAAAGATATCCATAATTTATGCATCGTTAAGAATAAAATTTGAGGCTCGCGTTAATAATCAATCGTAAAGTTTAAAATGTTTTTTTACATTTTTAAACATCATAACGTTTATTGTATTTAAATTTACTAAATAAGAATCATTTGCCATAATAATACAAATACATAAACATAAGGTTTTAAAGAAACAAATGTTATTTTCAATTTTAATCACAGTTTGAGTACCAGGTACATAATTAGGTCATCGCTTCGATACAAATTACGTTGTTCTTCAACATATGTTTATTTTCGATACGTCGTGCATGGCATTATCTTCATTACTTTATTTACTCTAATTATATCACTAATTAATTAGTTAACTACTTATTAAATGCACATAATAAGAATGTATGCCTATATACATACAAAAAAAATAAAAACAGGAGCCTATGCAGAAAGCGGAAGGGTTTTAGAGCATGCGCATTCTGTCAATATTCAATACGGACAAAAATGATAATTGTTTTAAGAGAAAGGTTTACGTTTTCTTTTCTCTTACCCATATATGTTACTGAATGCTGCCCCTCCTAGACCGATATGGGAAACCATCATCCCAGTATCACCAAGTTCGTTGTATCTCATGTTTATGAGTTTACTCTATAAAATATTTTTCGCAACGCACAGACCACTACTCACTCGCGCCGCTGTCGACTGATTGGATTGGACCGGCTGTGAATGATAAATCTACACAACTACAATATCATTTACGTACTTACTGTATTGTTGAATATTGATAAAAATAAAGATCTGTTCACTTTGAGGCGGACTTTCCTAAATATTACCTAGCAACGATGTGTATGACTCGACTATTTAAAAAAAAATAAACGTTACATATTTTATTAAAAGGAAAAAAAACATACAGACGAATTGAGTACCTCCTTATTTTGGAAAGTCGGTCAACAAAAACGGTAATCACAAGATCTATGAAAATGTGAACATTTCTGGTATAATCGATTTTATTAATTTATTGCCAACGTCGTAGAAAATCTTATTACTATTAAAGAAAAAAAGGATTACATGAATTACCATTAATTAACCAATTTTCGTAATAATTAGATAGTAACAAATAGAAAAAAGGCTTAAAAACCCCTTATGTGTAATACTTTATTTTTTTATTTGATATGTATCTTGTCATCTAAGACACGATATAGAAAATGACACCGTTATGTCTACCCTCCTTAGAAAAACGGGCACAGTTAATAAATATGCCACAAACAAGTAATTTTATTCAAGGCTTTAAAAAAACGAATCTTTAATATAAAAAAAAAAAACAAAAAGCCCAACTTGCTTTGCCATATAACACTAGCGAGAATACGAATCGACAAATGTTTTAAAATTGGTCCCAATGTGTATCTCAATAAAACATGTGTATACAAACCCACAAACATAAAAACAGCAGAAACATAAATTACCTACCCGCCAAAAATCCATGTCACTCCGGTTAGTTGGTTAAAAAAAATAATTTCTTCAAGACCTTATGTAGAGGTTTGTAAGCACCGTTTTATGTAAAGTTACAACAAATTAAACTACGTAATTACTTAAATATCTTATTTTGAACGTGCAAAATATACTAAAGCAATACTTATTTATAGCATAACACAAATACAATATTCACAAAAGCGCAATGTTTTTTTTTTAAGCAAGCTTATCTATATAAATGTATTGTGTACTCGACCTAATGTATAACCTGTAAAATTTCACGGATTTTTATGTTAAGCAAACGAATTCAAATTTAATTTATACAACATATAGTTTTTAAAAATAAAAATTATCATTAACAAAATTAACAACAATTATCATAACAAAACATTTTCGTAGATTGCATTCTTTTCCATAAAAGTATGTTTAAAAAAAATTGACGTACGTAATACTTTAGTTTTATGGAATATGTTTATTGATTCCACTTTAAATATTAAAAGATTATCTAAAACAAAATATAAGGATTTTTAAAGCATAAAAATACTTCAATGTTAAGTCGAGTTTAAAAGTTGATCACAATTTCTGAACGTTTTCTACCTAGTATTGCTACATGAATAAACATATTTGACATTGACATCTGTAAGTTTCTATTTCAACATTTTAATACTTTTAAATTCACGGTTACATTTTTAACATTTCTTTTAAGTTACTGCAAAAAAATCTACAAAAGCCGTTCTTAGTTTATTTTTGACAGCAATTTGACGTTTGTTTCTGTTACTGGTATCCCTCGGTCAGCTCAGCTCTCAATTCTGTAATGACAGATCTCACATTTATCTTGGCCGTCACTCGACGTACGCTCCGCACGCTAGCGGAGGTTAAACTTATAAAATAATATTTTGACTGCGATATAAAATAAAAATTTGATCTATACGTGGTATTCTCATAAAATGTAAATCTGATTTATTTCAATAGTTGGAATATTTAAGAAGGTATGTATTCAACGCACAAGAAGTAATAAAGTGAATTGTTTACATGTTTACAAGTTTTCTAAAGATTTTTGGGGAAGACAAATAGTAGGCTATGCGCTGTCTAACGACTTAACTAATTATCCTTGTACGTAAAGTCGTCTGTACATGTGGTTTTTTTGAGTTATTAGTGTTTTATACGCATCAAAACAACTTTGAAGACTGCACTACGAACATTTCAAATTTCGAATGCATTTACGATAACTTTAACGTCTCTCTGTCATTTGAATTTTAAATCATATCTAGTGTTTAAACTTTTGTTTTTGAGGGCTATAAAGATTCATTCCTTCGAAATTCTTTTAATTACATGTTATTTAAATATTGAATAACATTATATCGAAAAGTTTTCCTTCTCATATTTTAATGTTCTCATTCTCATAGTTAATGAACACAATGGCAACTATTAACGATAATAATTGATTAGTGAGGCATACATAATCACAAAAAATATACATTTTCATATGGTGGATTTTATTTATTGTCATTAAAATTATTAAATCACCTCAAATAGTAATTTAAAAAAAAACTGCTAAAAATAAAAAAGTGATAGCACTATACAGATGTATATAAAAGTGGTTTAAAATAATTGTACACTTCTATACATTTTAATTGTTGCATAGACATGAATCAGAAGAACAAGTTTTATGTTTTAATATTGAAAAAAAATCTTAACATTCATGATTTCTTATAGTTTAAAACACTACCAAATAATAAGTTACTGGAAGAAAAGAATAGTTACTAAAGACAATGTATTTTTTTTATATTGCACTAAACTTTAAAATTAAATCATAATGATAAAAAAATTAGTAAATTTGTTCAATATTAATACAAATAAACTACAATGTTAGTACATTGATTGTCATTTTATTTGTAAAAGTAAATTTTCTTTCCAACACTTTTACTTAAGTGTTTTAATAACACTGAGTGCTATTATTTATTATTAAGGAAATTATTAACTATTATTTAAAAACTAAAATATATTATTACATAAAACAACATACCATTTCATGTTCTAAACACTATATAGGATGTACTTAATAATAATCACAATATAATCAAGAAATTGTATAATCAAAAATATATATTATTAAATATTTTACATGCTTTATTTTATATTATTTAGTTTATATATACAATAATTATATTTTTAAATTATAAAACAGAAATTATAATTGTAATAATATTTCAGAGCACGATGAGGACCAGGGTTCCCCGTTGCAGACCTTTCTCCACCCGGTTACTGGCCATCTTCTTACTGTTGCTGGGTCTGGTGCTCTACTGCCTGTATTATAATGCTACACCTTCTGGCTACAATAAACCAAGTAAGTGATATTTTTTTTTACAGGATCATTTATCATCATTTTGACCTGTGATATCTTCTAGGTGGAGAAAACTTATATATTCTTGACACATTTTTTTGTTATAAGTTTATCATCTCGTGTTTAATGTTCAATTACGCGTCAACTTAATATTAATGTAAATGATAATTGCTGCAGAATATTTATTTAGGTTTTTAAAAAGTCTAAAAAACAATATAACAACATAAACTCAATACGATGTTAGTTAGCGCATAGAAATATTAACGTAGAAAACCCGCTATGTAAACTGCATATTCAATTCACATCAAAATGCCTTCCATCCCTGTGGCTACTTTCACAGCAGGGTAGCAAGAGTTTAACTAAAGGTCGATACGGTACTGCAGATAGATCGTGCACCGAGAGAACAGTAGCGTTATAACAGGAGTGCCCGTTTAATCAACAACACTAGTGTACTATTTCTCCTCACTGTGAACGTATAAGATAGGTAGATCAATAGAGAGGTGGTGACACGATATCAATCATTTATGCACAGGACTAAATACTGAAGCATTCGACGCGATGTGTTACGTTTGCAACACGCAATTTAAATTAATAATGCCATTTAAGATAAAATCATTTTCCGTTAAAATGTAAAATTGACTTTTACCACAATCTACCAAACTTAATTTTTAAAATTCGTACATTCATTTTCATTTCCATGACTTGTGAAGTAATAGTTTTTTTTAATTTATTTGCGAGTATGGGTAAATATTTACTGTAAGTTTCGTGACACTGTCTACTACCTCACAACATTCTCAATTTTAGTTGAATAACGACTAATATGTTATTAAAAAACAAATTTAATTATACTAGCGAAACAATTCCATTAATTACAAAAACACATACAAAATATAATAAATACGCATTATTAGTTAAAACTGCGTTATCAAAAAGTTTAATTATAAACGTGCTAAAATTCATTAAAGGATTATCTTAAGCATAACAAACTCCTGGAAATAGTTTTACCAACATTAAATGTGTTCCAACCACAAAACCTGGTTAATTTCCCAGAATTCATTGCATTAAACGTTAATTTTAAAAGAATGTTTTCAAAATGTTTTTACTCGACAGTATACAGACAATTTTTACACTATTAAAAACGCGTAAATAAATCGATAACAATAATTATTATTGTTTTTTTTGTAATTCTAGTAACACGATTGCAAGCCGTGATACACGTAAGACACGTAAAACGGCAAATTATGTCTATAAGTAATTTTTAATCCCACAAAAATTATAAAACACAAAAAACTGTCGAGTCTCGCTTTCCTTACAAAAATGTGTTAGATGTCATGTAAAAGGTAATCATTTTAGTTAGTGTCTGTTATGAAATCTTGATAATTATACGACGCCATCATTGTGAAAGAACACCATTTGCTATTAATTCTGTTTCTATCTAAAGCTAAGTAAAATCCCGAGAATGAAGTATTTAAATTTGAAAACTAATGGCGCTATATCAATCTTTGGAAATTCACATCGACTAAGGAATATGAAAAGTCCATCAGTTATTCTATCTATAACGCAGATGAATAGATCGTTCGAAATTAAACCATTAATTGATCACAAAACCGTCTCTGAAACAGATAATTAGCACTTTAGATACATCTCTCTCGTTTACTTAATTATATATATTGCTTTACACGTAATATGTTTCCATTAACACGTGTGTTTAAACCAATATTAGAGGAGGTAAGTTCATTAATTACGTATAAGTGTTGTATAGAATTTCATCTCGTTTAATTAATAAGGTTAAGAACTCACTGATGAGCGAATTAACACAGTTGCAATTCTCCCATTCGAAGTCGCGGCCCAACTTGTTATTGTCACGACACACGGAGGAAATTAATTTCGTCGAGACTAATCAGAACTTAAAAATAGGTTTATTTGACTTTCTAGTTTTAAATCTTCTGTTTCATGTAGTCTTTTCAAA